TCCAAAATGAACAAAAGTAAAGACGAGACTGCTAAACTGCTCCGTCTTCTCCAAAAGAACGTGTGGGTACCTGTGTTAACATTGACCTGAGAATACAAGTAGTTTTAAAAAAAATATCAGCATAATCGTAAAGGGGCCAATATCATTTTATGACTTTTGTCACCTGTGGACCAGTCGGTCCGACTGTAGCTAGCAGCCAGGTGCTGCGTAGTTAATCCTGTATAGATCTATACACTCAAGTCACGTTCTCCCTCCAGGAGATTCTGGTTACAGGGGTAGTCCTAGACTCTCGTAACTAGGGGAGTGTTACCAAGGACGTGTCACCAATCTTAAGATTAATGAATTAAAAATAATAATACGGAAAATTTTGTTTTATTGGTCCTTCACTCTCGTAACTAGGGGGTGTTATAAAGGATCTGTCTAAAGTTCTAAGTTTAATGTTATTGGTACGTCACTCTCGTAACTAGGGGGAGTGTTATCAAGGACGTATCTAAAGTTCTCAGTTTAATGCTATTGGTCCTTCACTCTCGTAACTAGGGGCAATGTTATCAAGGATGTATCTAAAGTTCTATGGTTCATGCTTTTAACAGTAAAGATGTGCAAATTAGTTGTGAAATACGAAATTTAACATTTTATATTGAGTTTCACAAATAGTTTGAAACTAACTCTGCAAGTTAAACGGTTGGTTAGTACGGTTTCCAGTGTTAAAAGCATACACATTTCAAATGAAATAATAAGTTTGAGTACAAGATTTCCTTGTACTTTTGCTTGTATTCCCTCCCTGAAAACATTGAAAAACATGGAAAAGGGTGTATGGGTATGAACTCACCAGACGGGAAATGTGCCGGTTAGGATGCTAAGTATCAGTTTAAGGCTTGAACACGCGCGAGGTTCCTATGTAACATAAGGAGATACATAATTGTATCTAATTAGAATTTGAACTATTAATTATGTAAGACAATACACTCCGGGGCGCGAAAACACTTTATTTCAAGTGTTAGGAGTGATCCGGGTTGCATCTAAGGGGGGTGTAAGGCCTAAATATGGAGTTTGCTCTTAAAGAGTAAACTCCTAGGGGAGTTTTCGGCCCAATGACCATATACCCATGATTTTATAGTCGTAAACTCATGGGTGGTGTGTTCTTGGATGCTTAATGGTCTTACAACACTTGTATAACCATGGGGGAGCCCATGCCACTTGGATGTAAGACCATGTGGAGAGCCCATGACTTTCCTATTAAAGACTGTGGGAGGAACTTATGGAATCTGGATGTAAGACCATGTGGGGAGCCCATTGATTTCCTATTAAAGACCATGGGAAGAGCCCATGGAACTTAGGTGTAATACCATGTGGGGAGCCCATGACATCCTAGAGTAAGACCGTGGGGGGAGCCCTCGACATCCCTATATGTTGTATGCATGGCTTATATGGTTTATTTAGCTTTTATAGCTAATAAGGATTATATGATTATATGAATTCTGTGGGGTATGCTCTTGGAAGTTACTAAGCATTAGCTTATAGTTTGTTGGTATGTTTCAGGTACTTCTAAGCCTAAGGTCAAGTGCAAGGCTTGATGGCGCGACATGCACTCTCTCAAGTGTTTTTATGGGACACTCTGATATTTGAAATAAAGTGTTGATGTTATGAATTTGAAAACAATCATTCTTGAGATATTGTGCTTTATTGGAAATATTTTGTTTATTTATAAAATAAAAGTATCTTTTGAAAATTGGGTTGTTACAAAAAGTCTGGCATATGACTTCGCTTCTACACCCAAAAGTGAAAGAGCCCAGCCTTGAAATGAAGGGTCAAGTGATGGTTGCTATCCTTTTGGGGCATGTGAAATAGTTGTTTGATGTGACGGTTTGGTTGCTTCACGGGTTTCAAGGAAAAAGTGTTCATAACTTTTAAGACGTGGCTATCTTTACGACTATCGTTCCATTTTTCAAGGTTACACGTAGCAAGCATTTATTGCAAACCGCTTCAAATAGAAACTTGGCGTTATAGTATAAAAGGATATTAGGGGTATCTTGTTCAAAATTTACGCAATCAGTCAAAAGATTTTCCCTAAATTTACTTTACTTTCTTCAATCTTCAAACCCTTACAATGGCGGCCACAAATGTTCCAATTGATCCTTCTTAAACTACCGATGAAGCTTCATCTTAACCATTACTGAAGATTCAAGGGTCTAACTATCTGGTTCAACCTAATTTCTCAAAATACTCAAAAGAACTATATATGTTGATTGTGTCTCTAATGAATTATGTATTAACCACTATGATGACTGCTTCCTTTTCCGTGCCAATGACCTATTTACCACTAGCACGATCAAATGTTGTGCTCAACAAGGCGTCTAAAGTGGTTAATTTTCAGTTAACCAATGCAAATAAGTACAAGTTGTAGAAGAACAAGTTTGCTCACATTTTGAACATTCCTAATGTTGATCCTTTTTATGAAGTGACTAATGAACAAGTAGTTCATTTGTTCAACGAGATGGGTCATCAAACTCTACTCACCAAATTAAGTCAGTTCAAGAAATCTTCGTTACCGTGCCTGTGGAATTTTCTTTTTCGCATTTTCCTTCGATGCTTGACACGTCGAAGTGTGGGTTTGGATAAGGGTAGACTGGAAACTACGCCATGCTTGTTGCTTTATACTATGATTTTCAGGCTGATTATACTTCGTTTTTATTGGAGGAATTTGTTGTTAGCATCTCCCATACAAATGTTTGCAATGGAGTCTCTTGTGCAAGATATTGGCGTTTGTTTCTCCAATTTGTGTAAGAAAAGGAAGGAATTTTGGTTCCATTGGATGTTCCTACAACTGAGTTTGGGGTTTATCAACATCCGATGAATGTTGAAGATGATCCTAAAATATTTCCCAATGTTGCGTGGATTCCAGATAAGATGCTTCACAAGGTTAACCCCATACATCCCATTTGGTTGCATATCTTCAATTCGTTAATCCTTCTATTGAAACTGGGTTATTGCTACCCAAAGGTATTAGAGGGACTTTCTCTTGGATTTGGTGTTGAAGCCCATAACTATAACTGAGATGTACCTGATATGATTGTACCATAGTCCTTTTTGGGTTGCCTTCACCAGTGCAACTTGACAGGATGGACTTTGAGAATAAGGTTGTTTATGGTTTATTAATATATTACAAGTATAATATATTAATATGAAATCATATTATTTAATTAGTATTGATCAAGAATTAATTTGGAATTAATTTTGTGATCAAAAGAGACTAATTAAATATAGGTGGATTGATTATGTAAATCAATTAATCTTATAGTGTGGGCCAATGATCCATGATCGTGTAGTTGGGCTAAACTAATCTATGGATAGTCCATGGAGGTTAAACCCATGGAGCATGAGAATGTGGAAAGTCATGGGTTATTAGGGTTTTAAAACTGTATCCCTAGCATGTGCAACACTACTAATAGAACCCCTCTAGATACAAAATCAGCTACACCATATCTTGGAGATAACCAACTTATTCTCAAAAGCCTCCTTTTGCATTTTGGTGTTTGTGAACCAATAGAGGTATCACACCTGAGGTGCTAAAACTTTTAAAGGTCAAGAACTCTGCCCAACTCAAGAGGTATGCATCCAAATTAATGGTTTATATTATATAGCTTCAATTGTATGCTAGATAGGGGGAATGCTTTGGAAAAACAAAATGCATGTATAATTAGAGAAAACATAGAAACAAAGCATTTAGGATTTCATGTTCTCCATAGGAGTGTTATAGTGCTCAAAACCCAACACATTGAAACGTGGAAAGAGTCCCAAGAAACCTTCAAAGGCTAAAAAACCTCAAGTTGTTCCTGAGGAGGTTGGGCCGGTTGTTACGAAACTTGTTACTGAGCAAGTTCATGAACCTAAAGAACCTGCAAAGGAAGTAGTGCCTTCGAAATCTGGTGTTCTTAAGAGATTGAATAAAATGGCACACAACTCTCGTCATTCACCTGATCGACTTATTGTTTAAGGGACTCTTACAAAATCTATTACTTCACCCAAAGGTGTTTTAATTTCAAGTCATAAGAGGATTCACAAACCTCAACTGAGTCGTAATGGGGTTACTATTTGTGAAATCCCAACTCCAGTTTCTCCGACATCAAAGAAACAAAGAGCTTGGGATATGGTGAAAAAAATCAAAAAAATCAGAGGCATTGGAATATCCTCTCAATGAAGCTGTTTTCAAGAATGATTTAGAAGGTAATTAATCTCCTATTTTTCAAAATGAGTTTGGTTTCAATTGACCTTAGAGGGACTCGCCAGTCAAGGTTACTTTCGAGCATACTGGTAATCTTAGTGGCTCTGTGAAAGCACCTCATGTGGACACATCTACGAATCTGGGTGATTCATCTACTTTATCCATCCCTTAGAAGACTTCGGTCGTAACACCCAAAGTTTCGATTGCCAAGTCCAATATGGAGGAAGTTCGAACTTCAGGAATCACTGTGGACGTATCTAATATGGACACAAATTTCAATACTTGTGAAGGGATATCGACACATGAAGCCTATGGTATTTCGAATGCTTCTCCTTCATTCGTTACCACTTCTATCATTACTTCATCTACATTCGAAACCATATTTAAGGATACTTCTACATCGTTACCACCATTTCACACATCGACTCCTACATCATTACCTATCTCTACTACTTCACCCACTAATCAATATATTCTCAATCTACCAATCACTTCATTATTTCCTTCATAATCCAATGATGGTACAAAATCTACTTCTAAAGTTGGCCACGATGATGATGATGATGATGATATGGTGTCTTTTGTTGACATCCAATTTGATCCTGGAGAGGAAAACGTTCCTGGTCACATGCTTATGTCTGGTAAGCAGATCAAAATCCGTAACAAGAAGTTGAATTCTTTACTTCAACTTCAAGCTAATGTTAGGGGTCAGAGTAGTGTAAATGCCATTGAGGTTGATGTTATGTTCAAAGCTTAAGAACTTCATTCGTGCACCATTATGGAACAAATTGAAGGTAAAAATAAAGAGAAGCTGAAGCGTCCGTATGATTCTTTTATTGATGTGGTCAAGGAAATAAAATCTGTTGCTAAAGAAAGACATATCGTCTTTGTTGAAGTTGTTAAAAAGGTGAAAGAGGATGTAAATTCGAAGATTAAGTTGATTCGTGTTGATATGACACATGAGGTTTGGAAGCTTGATCACGATTATTCAAATCTTACTACTAAGGTTGATATAATCGCTTAGGTTGTTACAAAATTAGTTGAATCCTATAAATCCCTTGTTACTAAAGTTGTTACCAAGTCAACATCTGATTCTACAAGTTTTGCCAAGTTGGAGGAGTTACTAGGACGTTTAAAAGAGTTGCTTTCAAAGCTTGGTTCTTCATCACAATCTTTGGTTTTTGCATAATCGTTATCAACAATGTTTTCTTCGTTGGAGTCCAATCCGAAGACTTATCTTGATCCTCTTATGAAGCTTGTTGATTTGATGCCTATTGCTACCCCACCTATTTTCATAGGGGTGCAAGGAGGAGAAAGGGTGTTGGTGCATCAAAGAATTCGGATCAAGGAAAATTCGTTGGTAGAGTAATAAGCACATTGATTCCTATTTCGATTCCCATAAATAAGTCAAGTACTTCAACCAACATAACTTTGAAGCCTTTAACTAAAGGTTTTGTTATTGGTTTATTTCTTGGTGGATCAATTTCGATGCAATCTTCATCAAAAGAAGAAATGGAAGGAAAAGGAAAGGGTATTTTGACATAACCAATTGCAGAAGAAAAGACATTGGCTTTAGAAAAGGAAATGGAAAAGCAAAGACACATTCAAAGTATTCTTAGACAAAGAAATAGTGATCCTCCTAGTCTTGAGAAGGGTGATCCTACAAAGCCATACTGTTATGAAAAAATTGAAGCTTCGGTTTCCAGTGGTGTTATGCATGAATTTGCCAAAGTTCCGAAAAAGAACTTCGATACTGAAAACACTGACTTTAATCATATGGACTTCCCTATCAATGAGATGATGTTCATGACATCTTAGTATTAGACTGTCGATAAGTTTGAAGATAAGGAAGAATATAAAAGGTTGAAGCTTAGATTTCATGTTGTTTTGGGTAAAAGGGAAGAGGAAATACGGTAGTCGGTGAAGATAGTGAGAGTTATCAGTATCTTAAAAGATGTTTTATTTGAAGCGATATTTCAGAATTATCGATTCCCTGCTACTCAAGCTAACAATGTTGCATTCGACTTCTCTTTAGAAGACACTCCTTTAATGAATATAAATGATCTCATCGGTGTTGCAAGGATATTGAAAGGAGTGTCTTTCTATGACATATGTGGAACTTTCTCTTGCAATGGGTCGTCAAGTCACTGTGCCCCAATCTATGCTAAAGGGTAAAGGAAGTCTCAAAAATTTTGAAGACGGAGAAATTTGTGTGCAGCCTTTGGGTATCGTTTTAATTGGGAAGAATAAGAAAGGGAATAACACAAAGTTCCTTTTTCATGTTTTTGATGTGGAAAAATTCACCACTTCATAATATATGAATCTTCTTGTTCGTATAAATAGCTGCAAAAGGAATAAAGATAGTGACAAAGCTAAAATTCGAAGAATGATTAATTGGTATTCAGAGACAAGAAGAGTTTTACATATGTCAACCATGATGCTAATGACTTAGGATTCGACACTGCTCACAAAGGGGGAGAATGTTGGCGTCGAAGTATGTTGTGATGTGTCGAAGGGTGTTGAGTCTGTCTTAGTATCGAAGTCTGTATTTTTTCTTTTGGTTGTATGTATTTCATAAGGGCTCATTTGTATGTCGAAGCTTAAGTGTTTAGCCTTTATGTATTTTTTTGTTACTTCTGAATTCCTGTAAATAGGGATCGGTTTTTGAGTTAGAGTAACTTTTGAGCATTCTATTGTTTGTACTCTTTTCATTCTATGTATCCTTTAGAAGTACAATCGAGCCATCCATATCTTATTTACCCTTTGTGTTCATGATTAAATCTAACTTTGATTTCATTTCGTAAACTCGATTCTATAACAACTACAACAACCTGAGCTCAGTTTGCATTTTTCTTTTCAGTTTGGCATATTTTTAATTTTTGCATTTCTATTTGAGTTTTAGGATAAATGATCATCATAGTCATATTACTTTTTAGAAAATGGTAAAAATCAGGTGTGGGGTCCGTATCATAAAAAGTTATTTGTATACAACATTTTTAGAATAAATACTAACGATTTTTATAAATCAAATAAAACAAGGAAATGGCTAACGGACTATCTAGATTAAGCAATTTATCCCAACATTAGGTAGTCCAAAATTATGGCCCAGCCCTGGTTCATGACGTAAGCTTAGGGCCACGACGCGAATTAGTCAAAGTCACGGAGTACGAAAAGAACATCAGTCGCTTTCGTTCAACACTTTCTTTCCAACATTACATCGTGATTTTGATATGGTCACCACCACATTTCGATTTCGGCTTTTTTATTGTTGTTTTTTCTTTTGTATTACGTCATTCCATTCTAATGTATTATTTATAAGATCATTAATCTTGAGTTTGCTCTAATTTTTATGCATTTAGATTTTAGGGTTTGTGTTGAAGCCTAAATGTCGAAATTGGTTCAATCCTATGTGATTTAATTGTTGCATGTTATTTGGAAGTGATTAGAATCGAGTCTTAAACAAATTATATTTAAGTTCAAATGGCCATGAGAATTATCGATTGTCATTCACGTTTCGAACAGAATTCACGACATGGTTTTCTTGACCATGATGTGAAATTTGGGCGAAAGATTTTTTGTTTCTGCTTAATGGCTTAATTTTTTAGTGCTTTTATTATTTTTTCTTCTTGTTCATTTTTAGATATCATGGGGACAAGGCGTACGATTTTAGAGGAGAAAGCACACATAGATGTACAAATTATCCATTAAATTTACCGATTTCCTCAAAATGTTTCACAAAAAATGCTCAATAATTATGCAAACAAGCTAGGATGGTTATACAATCGAGAATTTGCAGTGATACAAATGGTAGATTGGGCATGTTTAAGCGATGGTTGGCATGGTCGTGGAAGTAGAAACATATTGGACGAAATTTATTGTTGGGGAAGTTTAACATTTCAATGTAATGAGTGACAAAATTTGTTTTCTATTCAAGAGCCTGTTTATCAGGAATGGTCCGTTGAGTTCATTACCATGGTCAATTTTGAAGAACGGACTAACGACTCAACATACAACCGGCCCCTTGCATTCTGATTAGGTGGTGTTTATAGAGAATGCAGCATTTGCAAATTTTCTTGGCGAATGGGGTTATATACTGAGGAAGAAGCACAATCACCTCATTTTATAATATTTTTACAAGGTTGTGTTTAGGACTTTACCTCTGGATTGATTGTCGTACAATTCTAGAGAACCATTTCCAATCACAAGTATAATTCGTGTAATGCGTGTGAAGGACAAATTCGGTCTCCTATTTACCGGTTCTTACATTGTCTGATCACTTTCTATATTATCCATAAATATCATGGCGACAAGGTGCCTTTACAAAATTTGTTCCATATTTGGAGCATCATCACGCCAGGAGCTTTCTGTAGCCTACCATATATGCTTGCAAGATTTTTAGGGACAAAGGCGGCAACTTCTCGTCCTCGTAGTCCTATTACTGGTGGACATTTTGTGACTCACCTAGCCCATTCATATGGGATTCTTGAGTCTTATGCGAGTTGTGGTGAATACTGGCGGGGGATATGTCATATCCCTGGAAGATGATGAGTAACATGTTGGTAACCAAGAGGGACAACCAAGACAAAGGGGAAGGAGAAATGTTAGAGCTCATGGGGAAAGAGCCCAACAACAATAACCACCTCAACCATTTGAGGGTGGGGTACTTATTTGGATGATAACCGTGGTGGTGTTAATTATAACAATCAAGCAAATGATGCATTATTTACACACCTTAACGTGGAGCGACCGCCGACCATACCGCCTCATTACTCGTGCATTCCAACATGGGAGGAGTTGTGGACGAGCCAAGGAGATGGAGCTGGGGATATTGAATCTAACCTTTTATTAGTTTTTATTTTTTTTAATGTGTTTTGTTTTAGTTTTTTAAATTTTAGTTGTTTTTTTTAAAACTTGTAACCATACTATGTTATGGATGTTTTTCTTCTTTACACAATTTATTTGCTTTGTTGCAAATTTGGTAGGCTATCGTGAGAGAAACTTAAGAGAATCGAGATAAGAGCATATGAAGAAGTCCATGTCATTCAGAGTTACAAGTCAAAGCCCATAATTCTTAATATGTATGGGGCCAATATCGTGTCAGAAAAGAGATTAGAGAGAAAGTCTAGAAATATTGAGTCTTAATCCATTTATGAGTTCAAAGATAATATCGCTTGCATGGAATATGAATTACTAAAACACTTTCTGGAGCTCCCAGTTTTCACGACATGAAATCTATCTCCACGTGGTCACTTGGATGCTATCACGATTCAGTGTGCAATTCACATCGACAACACGATATGAATGCAATCTCTACGTCATGAGCATTACTACATAGCATTTTTACTCTACTTTTTCAACTTTACAATGTGGCGTATGCTTTCTCACATTGAGATACTATGCTTTGACGATATTATGCACCACATTCGAAGAAAATTCAAGTTTTTGATTGACATTTTGTCGTCACAATTACGTATCTCAGAAGATCCAAGTTCCAATCACATAATCAAGATGTTTATGTTTTCCACACATGTTCAGAATCAATCTTGCCACTACTACCCCATGGGAGTCAGTCCCTTTTTCTCCCTTTTATTGCTTTTAAATTATTTTATGCATACAATGAGGGCATTGTATATAAAAAGTGTAGGGTAGAGGTCGAAAAAGTAAAATCCTATAAAAATTAAAAAATTAAAAAATAAAAAGAAGATTTGAAATAATAATCTTAAAATTAAATCTTGTGATAATTAAAAACTTAAGTTGATAGTGTTGTGTGGGATGATTTAATGCGAGCTAAAATGTTTAATTAAGCCAACATATGTTATAGTATATTTGTGGCTTCCCAAGTCTTTGAGAAAAGCCATGAGATATGAAAGATAATCTGGTAGTTTATATGGCATAATAAGTTTTGCAGCATGTACCTGAAATCTATCCATGAGAACTTATGTAGTCATTACACTTAGACTAGTACCTCTAAATAATAAAGGTTGAAGCTGAGCTGCCTTGCAAAAGCATGTAGGATTTGAGCAAAAAAAAAGAGAGATATTTAAATTGATCAAAAAAAGAGAGAAATTACCAAAATGTTGTTAGAATTTTGGAGCTATCAAAGTATGAAGTTCAAAAGATCAAAAATTCTGAAGAATCAAAAAGTTGAAGATACCAAAAATAAATAATAAAGGTGGTGAATTCACTAAAATCAAAGATAAATTACTCAAAGAAGTGAAGAATTCCAATGAGATCCATTGTGGTATCAAAAGTTGTAATTTTTCTAGATTATGTATTGGGTGGCTTAAACATAAGTACCTTGAGGTTAAGAAAAATTTATGAGGATGGATTTGGAGGTTTGCATAAATGAGTCTCGTAAAAACTAAGGGGTGAATGTTCATAAGGATTGTGAGTATCTAGGATTGGGAAGCTGTTAGGATTTTACACACAAATATACCCATTAAGGTCTTGGTATAATGACTGAGTTCAAAATGGATTCTCTTATGTGATGTTGGTGATGAAAGTTCGACATAAAAATAAGTTAGTTTTGCTTGAGGGCAGGGAAATAATAAGTGTGGGGTATTCGATATTTCCATATTTATACAGATTTTTAGGAAATATTTTAATAAATTTTTATCAATATTTGGTTAAATGCAAAGATAAATGATACTTATGAGATTAAATTGCATTTTGCAGCCAATAGAAACACTCTTGAAGAATAGGGACTGAAATTGACAACAATTGGAACTATGGAGGATGGGAGCTTAATAGGAGAAAATTCTAGCGAAAAAACCAAATCACGACGTGGCCCTCAACATCACGACATGGAGTGAGTAATCCATAAGATAAGTATGATGGAAGTTGAATCCTTGCCCAATAAGGATTTGTACCCAAGTCACGACGTGAAACCCTTGTCCACGTCGTGAATCACGTATTTCCGAAAAACTATAAATTATACTTCATTCTTATGATTTGAAGTGGAGTGAAGGGTTTTTAGAGAGATATTTGGAGGACAATTATTCAGAGAAACGGAACTCAAAGCATTCTAGGAAGGAGATTAGCTTGAGGATAGAAAGATTGAAGAACATATTCGTTACATTGTGTAAGGTCCTGAGAATGGATCTTACCAGTGATCAATAGCAAACACAATCACAGAAACAAGAATAAGAGTAGAAAAGAAAGAAATCAAGCTTGCACACGTTCTATT